TACGTGGTGCAAGCAATGTGTTGTGAGTTTATGTGGTGTAAGCTATGTGGTGCAAGCTAGGTGGTGTAAGATGTGTCGTTCGGGTGTACACTGTGCGGAGCATGCTATGTGGGCGCAAGGCTGTGAGGCGTAAGCTATGTGGTGTGAGCTTTGTGGTGCACGCTGTCTGGTAAAAACTGCGCGGTAAACTCTCTGCAGTCGCCCAGCCCACGAGGGGCCCGCGGGCGCCCACCAGGCGAATCCTCGGTTGACCCGCCCAGCACACGAGGCGCCCACGGGCGGGCACCAGGCGAAACATCGGCTGGCCAACGCAACTCCTTAGGAAGAGAAGTGGGCGACGCAAAGAAACGTGTTCGACTGCGCCGACGCTCGCGCGTAAGTTTCCCGCGCAAGGTCGCGCGTGAGCGCCCTCGCTTCAAATGTGGCGTGCCGCGCTGGCGGCCTGCGTAAGCCACCGCGTAAGGTCGCCACGTCATCCCGCGTGAGACCCGTTCTCGGTCGACGCCCAAGTGAGAAACCTTGCATGCATTGTTCGGGCACACTGTTGGTTGGTCTGCGAGCGGATCTCTCGGATCGACGCGGGGCCCGACCCCCCCCCCATCCTCCTTGGCGGGCGCAGCGCGCCCGGGGAGGCACCAGACTGGGTAGTCGAAGGCCAGACTGTCAGATTGGATTGGGCCCAAGGGCCAATCTGGCCTGGCCAAACTAGATCATTTGGGTTATTCGCCAGACTGGATTCGCGTTGGCTTCCTCGCCAGATTGCCCCCGTTTGCCAGATTGGGCCTGCCAGATTGGCGCCAGATTGGCTTCGACTACCCAGCCAGAGGCGCCGTTGGAGAGCAGCCCAGCGCAGATCCGCGAAGCCCACGCGGGCGGCCAGACCTTTGTGCGCGTGCCCTCTTCTGCCCCCTCTCGGAGGTGCGCCTCGACCTGCTGGGGCCCCGGCACGGCCACGCGGAGGGCGAGGAGGAGGCGGACGGCGCGGACGGCATGGAGGACGAGGAGGAGGAGGAGGAGGAGGAGGAGGAGGCAGAGGAGGCAGAAGAGGAGGCCGAGGCGGCAGAGGAGGCCGAGGCCACGGAGGAGGGCGAGGAGGAGGGCGGCGGCGGAGAGGGCGGCGCCCTCGGCGAGAGCGCGCCGGCCTGGAGGGTGGGCCCGAGCAGCCTGCCGGAGGGGACGGCCGCGGGCCCGGCCCTCGCTGCCGGGGCCAGCGCGGCTCGGCCAGAGGCGCGAGGGGAGGAGAAGCAGGCGGGGCTGGGGACGGCAACGACGACAGCGACGGCGAGGGCTCAGGGGAGGAGGAGGAGGAGGAGGAGGAGAAGGAGGAGGAGCAGGAGGAGGAGGAAAGAGAGGGAGGAGGAGGAGGAGGAGGAGGGAGGAGGGGAGGGAAGGACGGCTCTCTTAATTTTACAGCTGCAGGTAGAGGGATGAGCGGAGGAAGGAGGAGGGAAAAAAAAAAAAAAAAAAAAAGGAGGAGGAGGATGTGAGGGGTAGGGAGGAAGCAAGGAGGAGACAGAGGAGGAGGGGAGGAGGAGAGGAGGAGGAAGGAGGAGGGAGGAGGGAGGAGGAGGAGGGAGTAGGAGGAGGAGAGGAGGAGGGAAAAAAGAGGAGGGAGAGGAGGGAGGAGGGGAGGAGGAGGAGAGGAGGGTAGTGTTAGAGGGGAGAGGGAGTAGGGAGAGGCAGGCAGAGGCGAGGAGGAGGAGGAGGAGGGAGGAGGAGCAGAATTCCCTCGGGGGGGGGGGAAACTCCCTTTGCACCTTCCGCGCGGCAGATGCCGCGCTGCCGCGGCCGCCGCCACGGCCGCGGCGGCGGCCACCGTCGAGGCCGCAGCGGCGGCCGCCGCGGCCGCATCGCCTCGGCACCCTCGGCGCGGAGGGTGCGGAAGGTGTAGGTCTAGGGTTACCGCTGCTCGTCCTGGAGAGTCCTGGTCGCCACGGTTGGATTATCCTCGCAACTCTGGTCCGAACGCACCTTGGGAGAGGTCCGGGGAGTAGCGGCATCAGTAATGACCGTGTCGTTTCTTCGACGGCAGAGATGGCAGCGACGGCGAAGGCGGCGGCGGCGGCGGCGCCAGCGACGCCGACAGCACGACGACGGGAGGCCACTGCCGAGGAGGCCGTCGGGAGCCAGATGGAAGCGGACGCGCAGGGAAGGGGTGTTCCCGCTGTTGAGGCGGCCGTTTCAGACGGGCACGGCGAGCAGAAGACGCTCGAGGGCGCGATCAAGACCGCGACCAGAGAGCTGGCCAACGATATTACGTTCGACCAGAAGATCCTTACCAAGAACATCACGACCAAAGTCCCAGTGTTGCTCCTGAGGCATCCTGTCCGTGAGTATCAGCATGTTGGTCTGCACTGGCTGGCTACGCTACATGACCGGAATTTCAACGGGATTTTGGCGGATGAGATGGGGTTGGGAAAGACGATACAGACAATCGCCCTCCTGGCCCATCTTGCCGTGGAAAAGGAGATCTGGGGACCACATCTGATTGTTGCGCCTACGTCAGTGCTGAAAAATTGGGAGATGGAGCTGAAGAAATGGGCACCTGGTTTCAAGACTCTTGTGTACTATGGGTCGGTGGAGGAGCGGAAGCAGCGACGAAAGGGATGGCGGAGCGAAGATTCATTCCACGTGGTGGTTGCATCGTACAATATAGTTGTTCAAGATTTCAGGGTATTTCAGCTAAAGCGATGGCACTACCTCGTCCTGGACGAAGCTCAGCACATCAAAAATTGGAGGTCGCAGAAATGGCAGCAGCTCATCTGCCTCAACTCCTCCCGCCGGCTGCTCCTCACAGGGACTCCGCTCCAGAACGACCTCATGGAGCTTTGGTCGTTGATGCATTTTCTAATGCCCGACATCTTCGAGTCGCACGACGATTTCAAAGACTGGTTTTCGGATCCGTTGAGCCTGGCGATACAGAACGGCCGTGTCGATAAGCAGTGCGGGCTTCTATCCCGCCTGCACGAGGTGTTGCGGCCCTTCATGCTCAGACGGCTGAAAAGCGAAGTGGAGCGACAGATGCCAGGGAAGTTCGAGCACGTGGAGAAGTGCCCTCTGTCCCGCAGGCAGCAGGTGCTGTACGATGAGTTCATGCGGCGCCGCGAGACGCAGCGAGTGCTCAAGGCGGGCGATTACATTGGCGTGATGGGCATACTGATGCAGCTGCGGAAGGTGTGCAACCATCCGCAGCTGTTCGAGCCGCGCCACGCCCGCACGCCGCTGGCCGTGGACGCCCTGGAGATCGTCGTGCCTGGCCTGGCGCTCCTCGGCCTCTGGGCCGCCGTCGGAGGCAGGCGAGTAGGCGATTGGGGGTTCTGCTCGCAGCTGCTGCCGGCAATCCTGCTCTGGCGCCGCGAGCTGCTCCAGGTCCGCGCCGCCGGCGCTTGCCTGCCGCACCGCCCGATAGTCGACCCCACCTTCGTCGACTTGACGCTGCCTGGCGGCGTGGACCTGGTGGCTCTGTCCTGCGCGTCTTCTTCAAACAAGTCCGCCGTCGGGGTTCCGCCCCAGTCAAAGCGGCGGCGGGTTGGGCTTACGCCTGTGCCGCTCCCGCGCCCAGTGCCGCGCACGGGCGACTACGGGGCGACAGCGGCGGAGGGGGCGGGCCCCGGCCCAAGGCCCTCCGAGAGCGCCCGGGCGTTCTTCGCAGCCGCGAGGCAGCAGCTGGCAGCGGCAGGCCAGAGCCGGAGGCAGCACCGAGAGCGCTGCACCGTGGCCGTAGATTGGCTGTGCCGCGAGATGTCCTCGGGCGGCCCACTGTGGGGCGCCGACGGGCTGAACCTGCTGGACATGAGCTGCGGCAGCGGCCCGTGCGCGGGCTCTCCCGCGTCCAGGGCGCGCCTGCTGGAGCGGCAGGCGAGGCCGCGCTGCTGGCCCGTGCCGCAGCGCGCCATCCCCGGCGGCAGCGCGGCCTCCAGCAGCAGCAGCAGCACCGCACACCGCGACCGCGCCGGCGCCGCCGCGCCTGCCGCGGCGGCGCTCCCTCCTCCTCCTGCTCCTGCTCCTGCTCCTGCTCCTGCTCCTTCTCCCTCCTCCTCCTCCTCCTCCTCCCCTTCCTCCTCCTCCTCCTCGTCCGTCCTCCTCCTCCTCCTCCTCCTCCTCCTCCTCCTCCTCCTCCTCCTCCTCCTCCTCCTCCTCCTCCTCCTCCTCCTTCCCCTCCTCCTCAGGGCACCGGCCTGCGCGGCGGTCTGCGGAGCTGGCTGCGCGGCGGGGCGGGCCAAAAGCGCGGGCCGGAGGGCGAGAATGCCGGCGGCGGGGCGGCATCCGCGCCCGTGGCTTGCGGCCCGTCGGGAGGCGGCGCGGCGCGCGCAGGCGCGAGCGCATTGCAGAGGCTTCGAGTAGGGGATCGACCACAGAATTGATTTACCACACAAGTGATTTCCTCGTCGAATCTACCCAAAAAGACGCAGTGTTTTGCATGGATTCGACGAAGAGAAACCAATTTCGGAGTAAATCAATTCTGTAGTCGATCCCCTACTCGAAGGCTGGAGTGGTGGCGGAGGCGGAGAAGGCAAGAGTGGTGGGAGCGGGGCTCCGCCGCGGCTGCCCTCTGCGAGGCGGTCCACACAGAGCTCGAGCGGGACGCGCGGTCGAGCCTCTGCAGGTGGGCAGTGCTGGTCCCGCGAGTGGTCGTCTGCCCGCAGCGGCCAGCCGTGCTGGTGCGTGCGCAGGAGGCCCCTGCACTGGCAGGCAGCGGTGCACCCTCCAGCACCACCGGGCTGCACGTGAGGCGCACCGCCTTCCCACTGGGAGAGCTGGGGCAGCTGGCGTGGCTGACCCGCGCGGACGCGGAGGAGGCGGCCGCGCACCGGGAGGCCAGGAGGTACCCACAGCAGTGCGAGGGCGCTGGCACCCTGTTGTCCGCGTGCTTGGCGTGCCAGCTTCCCGAGAAGCATTACCTGGAGTCGGATTGCGGGAAGCTCTCCAGGCTCAGGACGCTGTTGCGGCGTTTCCAGGGCCAGGGTTCGAAGTGCATCATCTTCACCCAGTTCTCGAAGATGCTCGACCTGCTGGAGTCGTTCGCGAACCACAACCGGTTCACGTACGTCCGTTTGGACGGCACTGTAAAGGTAGACAGGCGACAGGCGTTAGTCGACAGTTTCAATTCGGATCCGCGAATATCCAGCTGCTTGCGGCAAGTCCCGCCTCAGTGTGGCGACTCTGCGAGCGCTGCACAAGATACCGTGACGGGTGACGTTCTCGGGTTGTGTACGGGTTCTCTTGGGCCGTCGTGGGCTCCTCTTGACCATCTCTGGAGTCTCTCGGAGTTGCCTGGGGAGCCTATGTGGCCAGCTTGGGCCCCCCTTGGGCCATCCTGAGCCTTTCTAGGGCTGTTTTGGGGCCATCTTGGGGCTGTCCTCGGCCGTTCGGGAGGCTTCTTCGGGCCCTCATTGGACTCTCGAGGCCTCTCGTTGGTTCTTCTCAGGCCATATTGAATGCATCTTGAGCCGAGAGGCTGGCCTGAGGAATTTCCTGGGTTGTTGATTAACTTGAGCCTTCCCAGGAGGCCTATCGGCTTTCTCCCTGGTGTATTGATCGCCTATTGGGGTCCAGCGTGCTTTCTTCGGGCTTCGTTAGATGCTATTGGGTGCCTCTTCATGCGATGTGAGGCCACACGCGCGACCTTGGTAGTCTTCCTGGGCCGGCTTGGAAACCTTGGAGAGACCCCAGGGAGGCGTCGGGTCACCCAGGAAACGTCGGGAGCGGGGGGTGATGTATGCAGCACTGCATGGGTGCGAGGGAGCACTTCTAGAATACGCACAGAAGCCCGACCAGACAGCACTTATCAGTGCACCGCGCCTCAGCATTCCAGGGGGCACGATGGCGGATTTTTGTTTATTTCATCCACGCGCTCTGGCGGTGTGGGCATAAATCTGATTGGCGCGAACATCGTGATATTTTATGATTCCGACTGGAACCCTGCAATGGACAGGCAGGCCATGGACCGGGCTCATCGCATCGGCCAGATCCGAGACGTTCATATCTACCGGCTGCTGAGCGAACACACAGTCGAGGAGAATAGATTGGCCTTCGGCCCATCCCGCCACCGCGCCTGGCTTGTAGGTCAGAAGCCTACTAGGGCATAGACATCCGGCGCTCCAATTTGGTCGATGCTTGGACCCCCGGAGGTCTCGACAACTTTCCTATGGCCAGTTTTGTCCTGAGTAGCTTTGTTGACGGTCCCGGGGCCCTTCGACGCCCCCGTGAGGTGACAAATAGCCAAAAGCCGGCCGCTCTAACTCGGAGCCTCGAATCTTCGGGGTGGCGGATATTTGGCAGCGGCAGCTCCAGAAGCGACAGCTGGACGACATGGTCGTCGACCAGGGCCAGTTCAACACCGAAGCCCTGCAGGGCGCGCGGGGCAGCAAGCGAGGCTCCTTGTGGACACTCGGCGAGGTGCGCGCCATGCTGGACGTCGGTGGCCAAGGCGCGAGGGCAGTAGTAGTAGTAGTAGTAGTAGTAGTAGTAGTAGTAGTAGTAGTAGTAGTAGTAGTAGTCGTAGTCGTAGTCGTAGTCGTAGTCGTAGTCGTAGTCGTAGTCGTAGTCGTAGTCGTAGTCGTAGTCGTAGTCGTAGTCGTAGTCGTAGTCGTAGTCGTAGTAGTAGTCGTCGTAGTCGTAGTGAGTAGTAGGTCGTAGTGTAGTAGTGGTAGTAGTCGTAGTCGTAGTCGTAGTCGTAGTAGTAGTAGTAGTAGTAGTACTAGTACTAGTACTAGTACTAGTTCTAGTAGTAGTAGTAGTAGTAGTAGCAGCAGTAGTAGTAGTAGCAATAGTAGTAGTAGTAGTAGTCGTACTAGTAGTAGTAGTAGTAGAAGTAGTAGTAGGAGTAGTAGTAGTAGTCGTAGTAGTAGCAGTAGTAGTAGTAGTAATAGCAGTAGTAGTAGTGGTAGCAGTAGTAGTAGTAGTATAGTATAGTATAGTACAGTATAGAATAGTATAGTATAGTATAGTACAGTATAGTATAGTATAATATAGTAAAGTATAGTAGAGTATAGTCTAGTATAGTATAGTCGTCGTCGTCGTCATCTTCGTCGTCGTTGTCGTCGTCGTCGTCGTCAACGTCGGCGTCGTCCTCGTCGGTGTCGTAGAAGCAGTAGCAGTCGTCGTCGTATTCGCGGTAGTAGAAGTAACAACAGTAGCAGCAGTAATGGTAGTAGTAGTAGTAGTAGTAGTAGTCGTCGTAGTCGTAGTCGTAGTAGTAGTAGGTAGTAGGTAGTAGGTAGTCGCTAGTCGCTAGTCGCTAGTCGGTAGTCGGTAGTAGTAGTAGTAGTAGTAGCAGTAGCAGTAGTAGTAGTAGTTGTAGTAGTAGTAGTAGTAGTAGTGGTAGTGGTAGTAGTAGTAGTAGTAGTAGTAGTAGTAGTAGTAGTAGTTGTACTCGTACTTGTACTAGTAGTAGCAGCAGTGGTAGCAGTAGTAGTAGTACTCGTAGTAGTAGTAGTAGCAGGATACTAGTAGTAGTAGTAGGAATAATATAGGAGTGGTAGTAGTAGTAGTAATAGTAGTAGTCGTAGTCGTAGTAGTAGTAGTAGTAGTAGTAGTAGTAGTTGTAGTAGTAGTAGTAGTAGTAGTAGTCGTAGTCGTAGTCGTAGTAGTAGTCGTAGTGGTAGTGGTGGTAGTAGTAGTAGTAGTAGTAGTAGTAGTAGTAGTTGGCGTAGTCGTAGTCGTAGTAGTAGTCGTAGTGGTAGTAGTAGTAGTAGTAGTAGTAGAAGTAGTAGTAGTAGTAGTAGTAGTAGTAGTAGTCGTCGTCGTAGTCGTAGTAGTAGTCGTATAGTCGCAGTTTGTAACAGTCGTAGTTGGTAGTAGTAGTAGTAGTAGTAGTAGTAGTAGTAGTAGTAGTAGTCGTAGTAGTAGTAGTAGTAGTCGTAGTATTCGTAGTGGTAGTCGCAGTCGTATTATTCGTAGTGGTAGCGACAGTAGTCGTAGCAGTAGTAGTTGCAAAAGTAGTAGTAGTCGTACTAGTAGTAGTAGTAGTATCAGTAGTAGTATGAGTTGTAGAGTTGCAGCAACAGTAGTAGGAGTAGCGATAGTAGCAGTAGTAGTAGTCGTTGTAGTAGTAGTACTCGTTGTAGTTGTAGTAGTAGTAGTAGTAGTAGTAGTAGTAGTAGTAGTAGTAGTAGAAGTAGAGTAGTAGTAGTAGTAGTAGTAGTAGTAGTAGTAGTAGTAGTAGTCGTAGTCGTAGTCGTAGTCGTAGTCGTAGTCGTAGTCGTAGTCGCAGTAGTAGTAGTAGTAGTAGTACTACTACTACTACTACTACTACTACTACTACTACTACTACTACTACTGTAGTACTAGCACTAGCAGTAGTAGTAGTAGTAGTAGTAGTAGTAGTAGTAGTAGTAGTAGTCGTAGTAGTAATAGTAGCCGTGGGACTCCCGTGGGCCACTCTCTTGGCCAAATTTCATGGCGCCTCTCCCCCTCCCTCTCTCTCTCTCTCTCGTTCTCTCTGTATATCTTTCTCTCTCTTCTATTCCGTGCTCCGTATATCCATCTCTCTCTCTCCCTCTCTCTCTCTCTCTCTCTCTCTCGGCCGCTGACGATTATTTTTTATCCGCGGTCCTCGCCAGACAGGTTCCCCCCCCCTGTCCTCTCGGCCGATGGCGATTATTTACACATGCGGCCCCCTCTAGCGCACAGGCAGGTTCTCACCAGACGTGGCCCTTCAACCTGGCCATGGCGACGGCCGAGCCGAGCTCGAGAAACATATCTGGACAGCTGGCGCGCCTGTAGCGCCACGCCCAGAAGTGCACCCAGTTCTCGAGCTGCGCCTGCGACTCCTTGCTGTACGTGTTCATCGTGGTTGGGACGACGTTCTTCACGTGCGACCACAGCCCGTCCTGGAGCTGCGTCCCGCCGTAGCAGCACAGGACGTCGCCCCCGCTCAGGGTCAGCGTCTTGACAGTCGCCCAGATGCGCTTGGCGTGCTTGACCTTCGTGTGGTTCTCGAGGCGGCGGTAGCACCGCGCTCCGTCTGTGTGCCAGATCAGCACGTCGGCCCCCGTGTGAGCTGAGATCAGCGGCGCGGTCTCATCCGTGCTCTCGGGGCGCGTCGGGCCGCCACGGACCGCATAGAAGGGCGGCAGCATGTGCACGACGGCGTGTTCGTGGTCTCCGCGCTTGCACATGCCGAACACGCGGATGTGCATGTTGCGCCCGTTCTTGAGCTGGACGACCCGCAGGGTCGTGGCGTCGGTCTCGCACTGGCCGCTCAGCACGATCGACTTCTGCTCTTCCCTCGAAGCAGCCGAGACGATCTCCAGCAAACTCTGCCTGACCGCCTCGCACTGCTTGTGGCCCATCTTGGCAATCAGCGCCATGTCGGCTGTACTCATGCGGGACGTCAGGGCGCCGCACGACAGGAAGGCGACGCCCGCCAGCTTCGGGAGAGGCACTTCCACATCCGCCCACGTGCCGCTCGTGACCTTCACCTGCACCGAGGACGACGAGCAGGCCTTGCGCTGACACCTCTGGACTGGATGCCGCTTCTCGCCCCTGTGAATCACCGAACCCAATGGCCATCCGCACCTGGGGCAAACGTTCTCGGAGGGGTCGCCGAGGTACCCCGCCTGGACCATCAAGTCGTAAGCATCCTTGGTCTTCAGAGCCCTGAGGTCCTCGTACGTGTAGATCTTGGCTAAGGAAGACCTGCCGCGCCGCACGCGGGACACCCGCTGGCGCTTGGGCGTGTAGAACACGCCCGTGGCTTCCAAGCGCTTGCGTTTGGCCTGGGCCGCCTTGCGCGCCTTCCGCGCCTTGGCCAAAATGTCGCGGCGGCGCGAGGCGGCCTGCACCGACCGCTTGTTGCGACGCTTCTGGGGGAAGCGCTGCCCTCGCGTGCGGCTTCGACCCCTGGCCTCGGAGGCGGCGGGGCGACGGTGGACGGTCATCCCTGGCTCCAGGCGCGATAGCACGGGCGAGGCAGTGCGCGAGAGGCGCGGGCACCCGCGGCTCTGGCTGCCGATTCGGCCAAGAAACGGCTGCGGCGATGACAGCAACCATACCGGATGGACGGCGATGGCGGCGGCGGCGGCGACGACGACGACGTCTGCGGGGGCGGCTGGATTTCTTAGAACGGCAAAAGAAAATGGCATGATAACGCGCGGTACTTGTGGATAACCCTATCAAGACACAACATGTTGGCGGCGCGCGCCCCCAGCTCATCTGGGGCGCAGCGGCGCGCGCCACCTCGGCAGCGCGCGCGGCATCAGCGCCCGAGCTGAGGGTGCCATCGCTGCCCGCGAAACCCGCGCGCCGCACCTGCCCGCCCGCGCTCTCGCGGCCGCCCGCTCACTCCTGACTCTGAGAACCGAGGAAAGCGTGCGCCTCGCCCTCCTCCGCAGCCGAGGGCATCGCAGGCACAGCGGGCGCCCCCTCCTCGGCCAGCATCTGCGAGAGCTGGACCTCGAGATCGTCGCGGGGCGGGGCCGCGGGCCCAGATGCAGTGGACGACGCCGCGGCATGTTGCTTGGCGGGGGACGGGCTGTCGACATTGAGCGTCATCCCCGAGAGCAGGCGCTTCCGAAACGTCAGGCGCTCAGGGGACACGCGCTCTCGCTTCACCTGTCGGGAGGGGCTCAAAGATGATGTCCGCCAAGGCCGAGGCAGCGTTTCAGCGTTCAGAACGCGTTGAAGTGCTCCCTCAGCCCTAGGACCCCACCCCGCAGGGCCGCATCTTTGAACCCCCAAACCTGGACGAACGACGGGGCTGGCAAAGAACCGAGGGCCGCGTCTGAGGACTTCTTGCGGTTCTTCTCCACGGCGGAGTCCACGAGGAGCCGCTCCTTCTCCAAGAGCTGCTGGATATTGGCGGGCGGGGTCATGTCGCCGTCCTTCTGCAGTAGGTACAGGCGCTTCCCCTCGGCCGTCAGGAAGGTCTC